TTGCAATAGTCTTGAAAAAGTCTTTCTTACTGTTTTGCCAATTGCCAGAATATTCTTTTCTTTAACCTCAGTCAATGCCCTGTGCTACAAAACAAATGTCTGCTGAACTGAACAGTGTGCCTGGCAGTGACATTCGACCGCAGGCTCCTAGTTCCATTAGAGAGAAGTGCACGCCGCATCCACTGCTCTGCAAAGCAGCTGGGGTTTTCTGCGGATTTTTCTCATGGGGTGGGGAGAACATCCACACTGACCCTCCACCTGGGACCCCAGGCAGCCCCCGTTCACATGACCACCAAGCCGGGGCAGAGATAGTGGGGGGCCAACCAAACAGGCCTCTGACCCCTGCCCCAGGGCCCGATCCTACTGGTGTCTGGGCAGCAGGTGGGGAGAGAGCAGGTCAGTCCCTCTGAGTCTCCCTCAGCATATACTAGCTTAGGGGCTCCTGCGTGCTGGCCTCAGTGACGACACTGTGTGGCAGAGTCCACGAGGCAAGCCTGGGCCCTGCGTGTCAGGGGCTGACCCTGCATCAGGGCCCAGATCACGGGCAAGGGCCAAAGGCATGTACGATTACAGCCAGCAGGAGTGCTTTCCTTGATTTCTGAAAGGAGACAGTGAGGACACAGCAATAACAGACAGATTCCTTGTCCACCTAAGGGTGCAGGTGCTCGGCCCCATCACAGCGGCACCTGCAGCCAAGCCCTGTAGCCGCAGAAGACAGAGCAGTACCTGTGCCGTGCGCTCAAGTCACAACAAAGCTCCAAAGACAAACTGTCTGACTGCATCCCTTTCTGGCTCTGTCACTCACTCCGCCCTGACCTCAGGTGTGTAAGTCACTTCACCTCCTGGCCCCTCAGTTTCCTCATCAGTGAAATGGGGAGAATAACAGCACCTTCCCCAGATGGCAGAGTGCCCGGCACAGAGTGGGGGCTCTCCTGACTGGAGTCTCCTCTCCGCTCTGGTAGGCCTTCCTGCGTCCTGTCATCTGGGCCCATAATTAAGGCCCATCTTGTGTTCATGCATTCATTTTTACTGGGTACCCGCTGTGTGCCTGGGGTCATGCTGGGCTCTGAGGACGCAACGGGGGCAAGCCAGTTGTCCTCTGCTGCTGTCCTCATGGGGATGGCAGTACAGTGGGGGCTGGGCACCAGTCAGTATACCGTTGGAACTGGGAGAAATCCCACAGAGCTCCACGGTGGTCTGGGCACATGTGAGAAGCTTCTGAGCAGAGGATGGGACGCTGGGATATGGGGGCATGACGCGGCAGGGTGGGCTGGTCAGAGCCAGGGAAGGAGAATCAGCTGCCACGACAAAGCTCAGGCTTGAGGAGGACGGGGATAGACTCATGGAGGGTGTGAAAGGGGGACTGTCTGGCCTCAGCATTAGTGAAATGGGGCCAGCACCAAGGGAAGCCATCCACAGTGGCCTGAGGCACAGGGACACCCTGCAGCCAGGGGGCCCACTGCCCACCCATGCAGAAGGGCAGAGCTGTCTGCCTTGCACAGCACCCTGCCCCAGCCACCAGCACCCTGGGGACCCATCTGGGTGGCCACCCCCTCAGCAGGACCGCCTGCATCTGGAGGATGGTGTCTGCTCCCCTCTGAAGCTGGGGACTTCCAGGAGGAGCAGACACCTGAAAAGGCCCTGTGGCAATGGGATTCACAGAAACCTGCCCTTTCACTGGTTGTTTGAAGACTTCTCAGGGGCAAACGTGGCCCCTGATGAAAACCATTTGTGTCGAGATTCATAGGCAAAGATGCATTTCCTCCAAATGTGTCACTAGCAGTTCCAGCTTCTGGGGTGCATCCTTGGGCCATGGCAGCTGGATAAGAAGGTGAGGTGGGCTGTAAAGGGTGTGCCCACCCACCAGCACGTGGCAGATCTTCACAGGGTCCTTTCCCTCCTCCCCCCACCCCCCCGCAGCTCACATCGCCCCAAGGGGGGAGCACTGGGAAGGCAGCCCTGGAATGCTTGTGACACCCAACTCCACACGTCCCCAGAAGTATGGGGCTCCCCAGCGGTGGTGAGACCGAGAGGCCGCTGATCCTACCCGCCCGGTAGCAGTTGGTCCACCCTCCTGTCTCTACTGCAGGCCCACTGTGCGCCGGGACGATGCGGATCTCAGTGGGAGACGTGGCCTCCGCTCCCTGGGAGCCTCTGATCTCCGGCTGGAACCCATGATGTTGAGGCAAGAGAGCAAAGTTCCAACAGCGCCACCCAATGGGGGCGACCTTATCAAGGCCTGGGGGTCCTGATGGAAGCTGTTCCTCAGTCCAGAATCTCTGTGCGCTGCATCAGTCTGACTTCCAGGGAGAAAGGTAACGAGCGTCCTAAAGAAGTAAACACAAGAACCCTCAGGCTAGCTGTGAAAATGTCGGCTGGAGCCCTGAGTGGGCTCAGGCGGGCAGCGGCCCTAAATGAGACTGTCTGGTTTTGCCATGTCCGCAGCTGCTCAAGACAAGGGACAGTCAATAACACACCCTCTCTCCATCTGCTTCCCAGACAGTGTATAAATGGCTTTTGGGAAAGACTCAGGTTGCCTTGGGAATCAGGGCCTGCTGTCATTGGTCACTGGTTGGGAAGGAAGGCACCTGTGCTGCCAGGGGAGGGGACAAAGGGGCAGGAGGTCACTCTGCATGCCACCCACTAGGCGCTGCTGTGTCTCAGGAGAAGCCCAGGAAAGGCATAGGGTGGGGGGCAGGAGCCAGGCCCAGCTGGGCTCCCGGCACCTCATCTAATACCATTTCCCCAACAAACATCACCTTCTGAGACCACACAGTCCAGCTGGGCAGAGACAACAGGCCCCCAGTCATCACAGGGCAGCTGTGCAGAGGCCGCAGTGGGGCAGGGGGCTCAGAGGACGGCGCCGCCCCTGCAGGCTGCTGGCCGAGCCGAACTTCCGTGAGGAGACAGGGTGAGGGCAGGGCCTGGAGGCCAGGTGGGGTCCAGAGTCAGAGAAGAGCAGATGCCTCAGAAGTGAAGCCCTGGGTCTAAAAGGAGGATTTTCTCTCTTTCCTCATTTTAAGGTTTATTGCTTTATTTCAAATGCAGGCAGGATGTGCTTCATCCAGGCAGGGGCACATCCTAAATGCAACTTACCGTGTGAGGTGTGAATCAGTCTCCATATGGCCCAGCACCCAGAAACCCTGCAGTCTCCTTGGCTGTACAGAACACCCCACCAGCAAAAGCCTTAGGGGATCCTTGGCCAGCGGTTCTCATCCCCAACCCACCCTCTTTTTTGTTTGTTGTTTTTAAGTTACGAACCTCTTTCTTCCAACAGAATGTTACAGGAAAGCAGAATATATAAAGCAAAGCAAAGCTACTCAGGCCAAAACAGAGGTAAGTTATTGGGATCTTCACTGGGTTTCAGGAAGCACCCTGTGAAAACCCCTGGGCTTCTTCAGCCACCTGGTTGTGCACTGGGAAGACTGAGGCATGGAGCAGGGGTCCTGACCAGAAGCTCTGGGAGAGAATGGACCTGGTCGGCTTTGTGCCACACTGAATCCCCAGTGCCCCCCTGGGTATTGGGACATAGTAGGGGCTCAATAAATCTTGGCTGGGTAATAACATACGGGCGATGCTGACCACCTTTGCATGGGTATCTCTGTTTTTCTACAGTTGCTTTTTAAAGAGATTAATGGGGCTTGAAACTCAGAGAGGTCCCTTAATTGCCTATGCTTTGAAATTACAGCAATGAAAGGGTTTTATTCCCTGATCTAAATGGCAAGAACAAAAGCAGAGCAATAAAGGGCCAAAGAAGATGAAAAGAAGCCACAATTTGCATCCAAGATGGAGGTGCCCTTTGTTGTCCCGCATTCAGGTCAGTTCCAAAGTTCTCTGTTGAACAGATGTGAATCGGTCACCGCAGTAACAACGATGCCGCTCTGCCTCCCAACCCTGCACAGCCCACTGACAGCCAGGGTGCGTCCTGGCTTCAAGGCAGCTGGGTGTGGGGAGGTCGCAGGGGCTGAGGAGGTGGGAGTCTGAGGACCCGGTCAGCCCAGCCTCTTTGTCATGCGGCTGTCATACTGGTTTCCTGTAGGAAGGAGAGGTTCTGGGTCACCACCTCGAATGGACGTACCTTCACCCAGCACATCAGAAGCACTCTCCTTACAGCTATGGCGCTAGTGCCTGGCACACAGTGGCCTGAAGTTCAACACTCCCCTGCCCCCTACCTCAGGACAGTGATTCTCAGCCCCACCAGGTGGGAAATGCTGGGCAGCAGCGTTAAAAACAGAAACAACACAGACATTCCTGGGCTTCACTCCCAGGGCCTCCAACCCAGCAGATTTCAGGCGGAACAGAGCATCTGCACATCGCAAAACCTTCCAGGTGTCTATCTTGCAAGCCCCAGGCCGTCTGCCGGAAGGTCCTGCTCTGCGGGTGAAGCTGGTGGGTCAGGGAAGGGGGCTGAGAGTGGAGCTATTGACAGGACACCACCTGTCAAGTGGCTGGGACTCAAGTGGTCACATTTCGGGCACTGTCTTGAGCTTGGCAGGACGCGATTTGAGAGACAGGTACAAGGGTCAGCGGCCCGAGGCGCCCCCTTTAGGACGGCCATGGAGAGGACAAGGGTCCTGGGTGTCCCTCGATAGGGCTGCTCCTAGGACGTGGGTCCGCAGTACCGCTCTCTCGGGTGTCCGTGGGGAACGGAGGCCCTAGGCCCCTTTCTCGGAGGCGTCCCTGCCGGCGGACCACGGCGGGATCCATCCGCTCCCGGGCTCTTCCCCGGAGCGGCGCGGCCAGGAGCTGCCGGGAGCGAAGCAGCGGAGCGCCACCTGCTGGCCTCGGACAGAAGGCCCGCGCGGTCTGGTGGCGCCACCTGCTGGCCTCGCCTCCCCACAGCATCCTAGCGCCCAGGCAGTAGCGAGTCCTCCATGGGCTCTCCAACCCCGCGAGCTCCCCACCCACACGGCAGCGCTGGCCAGGCTCCTCCCTTTGACAGCGCCCGCTTTCGCAGCCCCCGGCCTCCATGGGACTGGGGCTTTCCAGCGGCCTCTTCATCCAGGACCTCCCCCCATCTCTTTGCTGTGTTATCTTGAGGCAATAGCTTAATGACCCTGAATATCCGTTTCTTCTGTTTAAAAAAGGGAGAGAGGGCCTAACAATACCATGTGCCGGGCTGGTGAACAACTGGACAGGATCACAGCTGCCGATCAGCACCTCCCACCGAAGCTGAGCTCCAGGTTAGAGACTGCGGCGGGTGGGGGTGGGGAGCAGGGGGCGGGGGACAGGGCATTTCTGCCCCCGTGAGTGGGAGATGCAGTCGCTTTCTGCCGGCTCCAGTCCAGGAGTTCCTGAGCGACCCCTAGGTCCTCTAATTCCCCAGGTCAGGCTGAGACCGAGCCTGTCTCATGGAGCTGAGTCCCGCTGGGAACTTTGACCAGCCAGACCGGAAGCACCTCCTCTGACCACCATGGGAAACCCTGAATCTGGAGAATACAGACGGGTAGCTCTTAATGGGGCAGGGTCCGTTCCAGTCTGCAGGAGGCTTCCCCGCCAAAGGTTCTACCCGTCTTCCCGCAGGCGGCTGGACCCTTGGGCAGGGAGGCTGAGAATACAGAGGTAGAGCAGCGGTTTTCAGGCTTGAGAATCGAACATCGGAAGCATCTGGAGGACTTGTTAAAATATTGCTTACCCACCCATTCTCCATCATTTTGATCAAGGAGGTCTTGGGTCGAGCCTGAGAATCTGTACTTCCATTAAGTTCCCAAGTGGTGCTGAGGCTGATGGTCCACTGAGAACCACTGATGTAGAGTCAGACTAGACGTGGATGTGATTCCTGGCTCCCTCACTTAGCAGCAGTGGGTCCTTGAGCTAGTTACTTGGCCTCGGTGTGCTCATCTGTAAAATGGAGACAATCCTCAGTGCTGCAGAGAGCGTTTGGTGAGGTGGAGTCTGCATGAAGGACGCAGCTCATGGCCTGGATGTGGCAGGTGTGTAGAAAGAGTGCTCAGTAAAGAAGGCAGGTGCAGTGAGTGGTGGCTGCTCTCCTTGGCATCTCTATGCACCTAAGTTCTGCCCGCAGCTCTCCCACATGTGGCACACACTCTGCCATGTGCGGAGCAGGACTGGGAGAATTAAAAGGGAACGAGAACAGTGATGACAAAGGCAGAGTCTATGTGGACAGCTCAGAGTTGGGAGAGGAACTGGATATGTCCTGTCACAGAGGACAGGGTTACAGGGGATGTGGTGGGAGCCTGGGGGAGACCGGAGTGCCGCTTCCAGGAGGCAGGGAGGACTACCCAGATGAGGCAACATGTGGGCTCAATGTCACAGGGAAGTCTTCATCCATCCTAGAAGGGAGAGGGGCAATCAGGCTGGGGGAGCAGCCAGGGCCCCGGTTTTCAAGTCTGACCACACACTGGGGTCACCTAGGGGCCTTTTAAGGACCCCAGTGCCTCCAGATGGCACCTCAGATTAATGACTTCTGAATTGTGGGGGGAAGAAAGGAGGGCAACACATGAATTCTTGAAGCCCCCTTGGGTCTCAGTGGCCTGGGTGTCCTCATCTGTAATGGGGACAATTTTACAGGCAAGGTTGAGAACCATCAGCAAAGGCTTGGGGGAATGGAGTCACATGCCTGCACAGGGATGTGAAAGTAAATGGCTCAAGGTGGCTGGATTATGGGGTGTGTGGAGCAGAGGGGCAAGAAATAAGGAGTGGGAAGGCAGCTGGGCCATTTTCTCAGGATTGCAGAATACCCGTCTAGCAATGAAATGAGCAAATGACCATGACCTTAAACTTGCACAATATGTATCAAGGACAAACTCTACATCTGGTTTTGAGCAGACTTGCCATTGCCTCAAGAACAGAGTGGCTGAGAGATTCAATACCACCTGTAATGGCCTCTGTGTCTCTGCAAATGTACCTGACTCACCTTGAGAATCCTCTCTGAGTCTGGAAATGGCAAGCACTCACTGAATATTTGACTGAATCTCAAATAGCCCTCCAATCTACTCACCTACTCTCACTTGGGGAGGGTGGGGTCAGCCTTGATGACCTTTGGGTTGCAGGGCTTTGCTGCACCCACACGGACTACTGTGACTTCAAGGGTGCCTAGAAACTCCATCAAAACCCTAGTCCTGGTGGCTGCTGCCTGAGATCACACTCACGGGCCTTTGTGTCTTTCAGTGGTTCTTGCTCACACCTTATCAATTCCATTTCCTGAGGGAGGTCTTAAAGAGCTGAAGGGACAGAACACCTAATAGTTGTGGGGAAGAGGAGGAAAGTTCCGGAAAGGAAGACCTGAGACCCCTCTGAAAGCTGGCCCTTGGCACTGGCCAGAACCCAGGACAGAACAGAGAAGCCTCAAAAGACAGGGGCTTCCTTTCTTTTCAAATTGGAACCTTCTGGCACTTTCCATTGGTGTCTGCAATTTTTTTTTTTATACCCTGGGGCAATGTTCACCATTTCCCAGGATGGACTAATTTTGCTAGTCACAGGAAGCAGGTTAATTTTTCCAAGATTCTCTCAAAGGGTCATTCAAGAAACTTCGATTCTGTCAAATAAGACATTTCTCATTAACCACCCAGAGAAATAGTAAGGCTCTTGTACTGCTCCATCTATGTGCCAACTAGTTCATACACTGACCTGTATCAAGTTAGGAAAGGACGTAACACTCCCCAGGAGTGACTGTGAGACAGGATTTGTGTGAAGGTGGGTTATTCGTGGTAACCTCAAGAAGAGTGGAGGAATGAGACAGAAGTGAAGCAGGCCAATGCAGGATGTGCTCACGAGCAACTAAGGCTCAGTTCCACTGTGGAACCTGGGGAGACCATTTGAACTTTGCCCAGAGTCAGCCCACGAGAGGGTCACGAAGCTGTGCGCCACAGCCAGCACTCCCATCAGTTACTGGTTGAAGGCTGTTCCCAGGAGCATTAACTCCTTGGCACTTCTAGCCTGCCCTTCACATACCCACACTGTAGTGACCAGAGAAAATGCCAGGCAAAGGAAGGTGGGGTAACAGGGATTGTGGGTGGGGCACTCACAATATCTGACACACGGACCATCCTAATCACATCCCAGCTCATTCATGAACAGCTCAGGGTGCACCCACCCACCGAGTGCCAACTCTTTCACATACAGACCATTCACTTAAACATCAACGCTTCCACGTGCAACTCATTCAGAAGGTGCCAATCATGAGCCACCTCATGAGAACACCAGTCTACACAGAATCTGGCAGCTGAGATAGCCAGGCCCCTGAGAACACAGGTGACAGTTCCACTCAGTGGCATCAGTGTATTTTCATGGGCTGGGATTAGGCTCACATGCACACATTCACAGAATTACGCAAGCAAACAAAAAGCAGAGCTCAAACTAGCTCTGTCATCAAGGGGAAATGGAGCAGTTCAGGAAGATTTTAACTTAGCTGAAAGTACAAATTGCAAGAACAAAGGTAATGTTTCTCCCCATGGCACGAAACCCAGTGACATCCATAAGGTGGTTTCATCTGTACAAGGTGGGGCTTTTGAAAACTGAAGACAGAGCAATTGCGGCTTTGCAAGATGGTCATAATTTTTGTCTAATGTCCTGGTGTGAGAGGCATTGGCCACATTTCTGCAGGGCCTGGAGCCTCAAATCAGCCCTCAAGCAGGATTTGTCTTCGAGTCACAAGGGGTGAGGTGACAGGCTGCTGTGCCGCCAGTTCTAACTACTCTACCCCAAGACACAAAGTGAGGAAACACGCTCTGCCAGCCTCTGTCACATGAGTCACAGGACAGCTTTCACTTTTAAACAGGGTGCTAAAACCTCCCTTTTGCAAAGAACAGCATAAGATTTTTATAGATGTGAATCAGCCTGTTTTGCACCAGCTTGAAAGCAATGTACACGATCTCTATGCCGATGATGATATAAATGGAGAAGAACAAGAAGAAGTGAGGGTGTTCTAAAACGGTATCCCCAAAGCCTATGGTGGTCAGGGTGACAAAGCAGAAATAAAAAGCATCCTCGAAGTCCAGCTGCTTCTCCCAGATGGGGAGGACGGCGGCTGCACAGGAAATGTAGGCAAAGACGAACAGGGCGATGATGGGCAGGGGGACGTCCAGCCTCTCCACCTGCCGCCCCACCTCATCCAGGTTGCTGATGATGGAGTACGAGAGTGTCCTGGACCCCAGCTCAGGACATGAGCTACTCCTCTCCATGGCAACCGGGGGTGGTTGCAGTTTATTCTGTTTCTTTTGTGCAAGAAGTTTCTTTTGTGCAAGAAGTGTCTCAAACAGCTCTGTGTTGCTGCTTGGGGCTGGACTCCTGCCAGGTTTGGGGTCCGGGAGCTCCTGGGCATTGATGACGATCCTTGGGATGGCTTCATTCACCCGTGTGGCGTCAGGCCTTCTCCTGCAGGGCAGTCGGGAGCACCGACTGGGAAGGGGACAGGGCAGGAACAGGAGTTTTCTGAACCGATTATAACACATGGATAAGATGGTGGCCAGGATGTCGCCCGTGTCTGTGAGGACCAGGAACATCAGCGGGATGCCAAAGAGAGCATAGAGCATACACAAGTATTTGCCAAGCCTGGTGACAGGGTAGATATAGCCGTAACCTGGAAAAGAAGACAAGAGTCCGAGACTGTCATCTGATCTTCCCCTTCCCAGTAAAAAGTTTTAAAGAGACCTCTGCCATTTCCACTCCTTGGCAGGGCATTTTACACAATGTGTTTGCAAACATTCATCTTAAAGAATTCACCAATGCCATGTGTGGCATGAGGTCTGCTCTGATGGGGCAGATAACCCAGCTTCTCTTTAGGAAAAGAACAACTCATGTCCAGACCTTTGACCCTAAACATCCTTGACAGGGGACAAGCTCATGTTTGGGTGTAGGCTGGCTCCCTTTCATTTTGCAGTGACCACCTGAGGCTGGGCCTTGCTCAGCTAGGGGACAGGAGGAGCACAGGGAGAGGGCGTGGATGGCTTTGCAGTCACACCTACTGCATCCTTTGTCCTCCACCAAGGCACCCCCATCCTCTAGGAAGCAACCCCGTCCTCCCTGGGATACCCGCTCCTCCTGGTTCGTATCTACAGGACGGGCAAGTACTCTGTGCCCACAGCGTGTACTGCACCGTGCGCAGCGTCAGACAGGAGAGAGATGGAAGGTGAATCACATGCAGTCACTGCCCTCAGAGCCAGTGTGGTTTAGTGGGTTAAGCAAACACATTCCCGGATGCCAGTGAAGTGGCTGGGATCCCGCCTCTAGAGTCTTACCGACCTGGGTGCAAACCCAAGTTCTGCCAGTTAGTGGAAAGCCGCTTGACCTCTCACATTTTCAGGCTTCTTATTCTTAGAAAAGGGCTGAGGGTCTCTGCTTTGTGTGCTGAGCAGCTAGACAGGCCACGAGACCAGTGCCCACCACATAGCAGGCGACTCTTAAATGCTGGTGTCCTTGCCCTTGAGAGCAAACAACAGCTGCCTGCTGAGCGCTTGCTCTGGGCTAGTAGTAACCAGCCTGCACAGGCAGGCATTGTTATTGCCATTCCCAAACAGGGAAACTGTGGCTCAGAGCAATGAAGCAAGCTGGCCGAGAGCACACCTGTGAGGAAGAGCAGGGGGCGAGTCAAACCCCCAGGGCCGGTGCACCATCTCCACTGGGTCAGAGCACGGAAGGGTGCAGAGCCTTCCAATCCGTGAGAGCAGGTCAGCCAGGCAGGGGGCAGGGCGGGCTGAGGCCTCTGCGCCCGTCTGGAGCCCCCACCCCTGCCTCTGTGCTACAGAGGGGCAGTGGCAGGGACTCACCAACCCTCTGGCACAGGCAGTCCAATCTTCTGGAGGGCACGCTCAGAGACTTCAACAAACAGGGAAAAGCTTTTATATTTAATGCCTATGTTTAATTTTTGATGTCATCAAGGATAATTAATACAGAAAAATCCCGCCCATCTATGTAAATTAATTTGAGGGCAGTTTCTAGGCTGGCTAAGCCCCAACCTCCTCCACGGCGGCAGCTCCCTGTGGCAAACTGTGGTCTCCCGCTCTGCCCTCCAGGAACATGCCAGCAGCGTGCCGGTTGCCCACCTCACAGAGTCCTGGGGGAGGCCGGTAGTCCTCACAGACTCTCATAAGTTTTCAGTCATCCCAGCGTGCTCCACGCCACCCTGGCTGGCTCCACAAGGTGCCACTTGATGGCAGGGGCAGTTGACTCTGTATATGCAATCATGTTGCATGTGCATATTGAGTGCCTACTGTATGCACTAGGACACAACAATGAGCAAAACAGATATGAAATCCCACCTTGCTGAGCTTCTGGTGTAGTGGGAGAAGTGGACATGAATCAAATAATCACACTAGTGAGCATGCAGCTACAGGTGGAGGTCACTAACAGGGCTGGTCTGTGAGTGATTAGAACAAGACAGCCATCCTGGACTGACATTTATTGAGTACCTACTTTATGCCAGGAGCTTGTGGGTGGGGTTGGGGGAACAAGGAGAAACAGGCAGAGATCCCATGCTCTAGGAGCTTCTAGTCAACAAGGAAGCAAAGCCTTGAGCTCAGCTCTCCTCTGTTCTGGCAGGATGCGGAAAGGACCAACAGGTGTCTGGAGGGACAGGAGTGGGAGGCACTGGCTGAGCCTCCCATCAGAAGCTCAGCTGTGGTGTGTGGGGTGGGACTAGCTGAAAGAGGGCTGAGGGCTTGGAATGCCTCTATTTCCCCTTCCCTGAAGGTATCCCGCAGCTCTGGACCTGCCCGCAGGGAAAGGAGATTACAGAGTGGCCTTAGCCTCTTGTCCAGGCTTCAGTGAAAGCCCAGAACCACTGAGAAGTTGCGGAGGCAGGACCTTCAGGAAGAGGGGGAGGACAGGGGTGGAGAGGTGGGACAGAGGTGGGCCATGAACAGGATGACCAATCACCCAATTTTCTCAGGACTGAACGATTTCCCAGAACATGAGACTTTCAGTACTAAGACCAGAGCAGTAGTCAGTCACTCTAGCCATGAAGGAGGGTGCAGAGAGATTCTGTGAAGTAAGAGAGAGGAGGGAGGAGGGCACCTGGAGGGCTCAGAGAGGCCAGGCCATGGGGTCCCAGAGGAGGCCAGGCAGGCCAGGCCCTGGGTGTTAGCAAAGATTCCCGTGCCCACGCTTGCCATGGGCCTGACAGAGTTGTCAGCCTTCTGGGATGTCAGCAGCCACCACAGGAGTCTACAGGCAGGGGGCCTCTTTGTTTTCCAGACAATGCGTAAGTCCCCCAGTTCTTGTGCATCCTTAGGAAAGTCAGGAGAGGCTCCCCAGTAGGAATCCCTCAGCCTCCAGGAATATCACATTGCTTATAGGATTTCTAGAGTATTGTACCTTTTAGCATCAAAATTTTCTGCATAGCAAAACCCCTAATTATGGCAACTACCATTATTACTATATTTAATGGACAAGGAACAGGGAAGTCAGGTGGGTGAGGTCACACAGCCCACAGCCAACAAGGGTGTGCACCCCTCACCTGAAGACCTCCCCTAACGTACCTGCCCACCCCCCAGTGCCCTCCTTGGCAAAGGTGAGTTTAGTGGATAAACACAATTTTTGTAGCTGCCTCTGGGTGGCATGTATTTACTATCCAGAAGGTATGCCCCATTCCTGAAAAATGGATCAAGGAAGAGTGTCAGAGAGCACACAGCCCCTACAAAGGAAATGTACGAACTATTCCAATTACTGAATGCTGAAGTGCATAATGGAAAATCATGTCATTTCTTATAATGCATTCATATATTCCAATACAATCATCCACATCACTTAGCCTGCAAGCATTTAATAGCCCTGTACTTTGCTTTCTAATTCAAGGGTGTGACCCAGTGGAAATGCCTAGGGACTGACCAGCCTCCCACCTGCCAGACCGCCCTTTGTCAGCATCAAGGCCAGGTGCATCAGGTAACCCAGAGATGGAGGGCAGGAGGGAGTATTACCAGCAGGACCTCAAACACCATTACTGATTATGGGCAACACAGCACCTCCCCGGCATCCTCTTCCAGATGTAATTACTGGATGGCCTGATGTCCCAATTGACTGTACTGTGAGTATAGCATTGCTTTCTTGGGGTTTAAACCAAGCTAATGCATTTTCATTAGATCAGTGGAGACTCCCATTAGGATCATCTGGAAAACTCTGGAAAATACTGATGCCTGGGACTCTCCCAAGAGATTCCAGCTTGATTGGTGTGGGGTCCACACATGGGAGCTTGCAAAAGATACCCAGTTTTCTAATGCGCAGCCCAGGCTGAGAATCCTTGCATCAGGTCAGTGCTTCTTAAATGTTACCATGCCTCAGAATCAGCTGGAGAACTTGTTAAATTACAGATTTCTGGGCCCACATCCATCCTTTCTCACTTAGTAGGTCTAAGATGGTGCCTGAGAATTAATCTGCATTTCTGACAAGTTCTTGGGTGATGTTCATTCCACTGGTCCAGGGACCACACTTTGATAACCATTGCATTAGATCAGTGGTTCTTAACAGGGGACAATTCTGTCCCCTGGAGGACAGTAGGCAATGTCTGGAGACATTTTTGGCTGTTGAAACTGGTAGAGACAGCAGGGGAAGAGGTGGGGGCATTGGGAGGGTAGAGACGAGGAGTGCTGCTAACAGCCTATGATGCCCAGGACAGCCCCCACCCCACAGAATCAGCCCGTCCAAGGTGACAGGAGTGCCGAGGCTGAGAAACTCCACATTAGATAAATCCCCTAAAGTTCTTGAAAAAACAAATAAATAAACTAAGCCCTATACTCCTCCCCTTGCACTTCTGCTGGATCTTCCTTATGGTTGACGCTCCCCTGTAACTGTTGCTCCCCCAAAGTATTCCCTCGAGCTGTGCATTCCCATGAAAAGGCCCCTGTGCCCTGCCTCCTCCTCTCTGGCCATGACGTCCCTCGGGGGGCCTTTGTTCACTGCGGAGTGGGATGGTCACAGAACCTATCTTGCAGGGTTGTCGAGAGAATTAAACAAGGCAATGCATATAAAGCATGTTGCCACCAGTGCTTGAACATGCTCAGTAGTGTAGCTGCTATTGTCATTCTTTCTGCCCATTATCTGTCCCAGCCTGGATCGGCATTCAGGAGAATGAGACCAGTTCTGAAAGAAACCACATGGGGGTGTCCTGGGACACACACATGTGCTCACTTGTAAAGACTGATGCAGCAGACACTCAGCAGCAATTCCCCCATCTTTCTGGAATGCCACTTCTGCCCACATGATTTAAGGACAGACCCAATTGGTCTGGGCCATCCAGGTAATTCATTCCCCATGCCTGGGACTGGTGGGGGGCTTCTAGGAAGAGTTTCCTCGCTGACTGTGATGGCCTACCCTTCCTCGTCTGTGAGATGTGATTATGCCCAGATGGGAAGTGGAGCTTGGTGGCCATCTTGTGATCTGCTAAGCAGGGTGAAGAGGACCTGAGGCTCAAGGCCATGGCTGAGCTGCACATGCACAAGCCCTGGAGCTGCCCTCCACTGGACATCATACTTGGGAGATGACACGTTTTCCTTGCAGTTTAAGCCAGCTGGGATGGGTTTTCATTAGAGGCAGCTGAGGGCATCCTGGCTGCCACTTATGTGTATGGTGGTCAACGGATCCTCATGCTGACTGTGAAAGGCAGGCCTGGGAGGAATTACAGATGAGGGAATACGGCTCAGAAAGGCTGTGTTGGTCCCTGGAGGTCACATGGCTCTGACCCCAGGTGGACAGCCTCAAGTCTACAGCTAGTCACTGTGTTCCCCGAGTGTTAGAGGACCTCAGGATGTTTTCCCAGCCATGGCCCAGGCTTTGTAACTCTTGTGGGCCCTGCTCTCCCTGGGATGGTACTCACTTGAATGAAGACAGGGCCAATCCTTTCTGCTGTCCAGGAGGGGCAAGGGCTGAGCAATGGGCCACACCCCAGGTAGAGACACTGACCCTGGAGCTCGTGGGCTGTGTCTGAGGGCAGGTATACCCCCCTCTATGCCTGTGACTCCTCCCCCAGCAGGGGAGGCTCCTGCTGGCCCTTGCTTGGCCCCTCCAACCTGGCCCACCCTGCTTTACCACCAGAGAGGGAAGCAGGGGGCCTTAGTTACCACAGGGGCCTCTGATGCTGGCCCAGGGACACAGCGCCCAAGTGCCGGACCAGCCCTGGTACCACCTCATAGCCCAGGAGGCCCACTGCTTCTGCAGTGTTTCCCTCATCTTCTGCCCCAGAACCCTCCTACACTGCTGGAAGGAATGGAAGCTAGTTCAGCCATTGTGGAAAGCAGTATGGGGGTTCCTCAAAAAACTAAAAATAGAAATACCATTTGACCTGGGAATTCTACTCCTAGGAATTTACCCAAAGAAAACAAGTTCTCAGATTCAAAAAGACATATGCACCCCTATGTTTATTGCAGCACTATTTACAATAGTCAAGATTTGGAAGCAACCTAAGTGTCCATCAGTAGATGAATGGATAAAGAAGAGGTGGTACATATACACAATGGAATACTATTCGGTCATAAGAAAGGAACAAATATAGGGGGACTTGATAATACGGGTGAATCCAGTAACCACATTGTTTTTCTTGTAAAACCTTCATAAGAGTGTATGTATATCAATGATACCTTAATAAAGAATAAAAATTAAAAATTAAAAAAAAAGTCACTTGCATTGGGAAGCCTCTCCCCACCATCCCCATTCCCACAGCCCCAGGCCTCTCCCCTCTAGCACGCACCATAGCACACCTCAGAGGGAGGCGAGGCATGCTGCTCATTGTCCCTCCCCTCCATTAGACTAGGAGCCCCGTGAGGGCAGGGAGACATCCAGCTAGTTCAGCCCCCGAGCCATGCACACAAAACATTGTGTATAGAGAGTGGCAATGGAGTTTCAGGTTCAGACCCAGACAGGCTGGGCTCAGATGCATAAGAGCTGCGTGACCTTGCAAAGATTGTGGACCTACTTTTGCCCAGTTACCCCACTGGAGTGTGGGAATAAAAACAGTAGTTACCTCAGAGTTGTCATGACTCACACAGAGGTGACTGATGGGCCAGTGGTGGCCCTGCTCTCTGCTGTGTCCCCTGAGCAGAGAACACTGCCAGCCCACCCAAAGTAGGCCTGGCACAGGGTAGGCATGCCCCAACCATCTCTGATACCAAATCAATTGAGTGTTGCACCATCCCCACCCAGAGTCCCCAGCCTCCCCCTCCCCGTCCCCAGGCCTCTCTCCCAGGCCCGCCCTTGCCCTTGGACTCACCCACCGTGCTGATCACTGTGCAGCAGAAAAAGAGTGAGCTCAGGAAGGACCAGTCTGGGCGAAACCACTGGGGCTTCACCTTCCGCAGGGCCAGCCCGAGATCCCGTTTCCTGCCTTCCCCAACTGGAAAAAGAGACAACCAGGGAGAGGGGGAGGGTTCTGCTGCTCCAGACCGTCCTACCCAGGTGCAGGGGAGTCTTCCCCAGGGCCAGCACGCCCCCTGCCCTGTGTCCCCCATTGGCACCACACTTGGCTCTTGGAGCCCTGCTTTAAATGTCTCTGCAGTTTAGGTCCTACTCCGGCCTGCGGAGATAAGGGGGCCCCATTACCCCATGAGACAAGCACCCAAAGGAGAGGCCCCCTGGGGGCTTTCTGAACTTTCTGAGCCCCCATTTCCTTCACCCTGCAAATGAGCATACTAGTAACAGGCCCAACTCTGACTCTGACTAGTTTCTCTAGCCATGAACAAGACGCTTCTTTCTGAACCTCAGTTTCCCTATTGGGGAGGCAACTTGACATGGTGTTGAAAAGCTCAGGCTCTGGAATCCGCATGCCTGGGGTTGAATCCCTGGCTCCATTTTCTAGTTTGTGATCTTGAGCAAGTTGCTTCACCTGACACCCACTGCCTCAGTTCCCTAATCTGTAAAAGGGGAACAATTCCTATCACCCTCGTAGGGTTGGTGTGAGGATTAGGTGAGAGAACACATGGAAAGCCTGCAGCACAGGGTCTGCCCTTAGCTGCTACTCACTGAGCACTTCAATCTCCAACGAAATCGTGACAGAATGGGGCTGGACCACCCTGAGTTCCCATACTATTCTGTGCCTCAGAATCACCTGCAAAACTTTAAAAATAAGATTCCCAACCCAGGCCCAGGGATCCTGACTAAGTGGGTTTGGAGAAGAGCCCGGAAATGTGTGTTTTGGACAAGCTTGCTGGGTGATTCTCACCTGTGGTCGGGTTTGGAGAGCCCTGAACTTGCTGACACTCTAAGCCCTGTGATGGCTCAGAGGGCCCCAGCGGCTGCCATGCCAGAGGGCGTCTGCCAGGTCAGCTGAGTAGGCCTGTGTCTGCCTGGTACAGGTGCAGGAGGAGAACCCTCTACAAAGGAGAGACGCTGCCTCCACGACCAGCCTCCAGTCGCCCAGCTGAAAGGACCTGCTTCCAAAGCGAGGAGGGGCCTGGGGCAGGGGCTGAGGGCAGCCTGACTGAGGACCCACAGTACAGGGGGACAGAGCTTGACTTTCTGTTTTTTATTTATTTACTCTATTATTTTATTTTGTTCTGTTGAATACATCTTTGCAATTCTGAAGAACATGGCAGAGTACAAGTAAGTGACTAAATACAAATGAAGTGCACTAAGGAATAAACTGCCTGTGTCTTCCAAGAGGCTATATGTCCTATCTACTTCCCACAGGGTCCCTGTGATTGGCCTGAGATTTTGGGCACCTTCTGTCTGGTGCACTGAGACCCAGAGAAGGCAATGGCTCTGCCTCAGATCACACAGCGAGTTGGGAGAGCAACTGGGAGCAGAACCAGTCCCCCAAGTGCTTCTTACAACCTATCCCTCCCCCTCCCCTGAGTCTGACCATAGAAAGGCTGTTTGAAACAGGAAGTGAGAGAGTAGGGGGACAGGCTGCTCCTCCTGGGGCTTCGAGCCCAGTTGGGATTGTTCGCTGAATTCTAGTCCCGGTAAACTGAATCAGGGGCCAAGCAGGCATAGTTCTGAGACCAGCCTAGGAACCCCCGGCCCCAGATCTGGTCACCCACCCACCTAGCCCACCTCACCAAATCTCCAGCAATCCATCCTCCCTGGAGACTGCTGGTCTGGGTGGGGCTGGGAGCTGAGGCAAACGAAAGGGTGCCGGTCTTTCCAGAGCACCCATTGGATGCTCAGTGCTTTTCCCAAATTCTTCACAGCAACCCTGAGAGGTCCTTGTTCTACCTCTTTTGACGAGGAGCAGAATGAGTCTCAGAGAGAAGTCACTTGCCCAAGGTCGCCCAGGAATGTGGAGGATACATGCAGGGCGCCCCCAGCCCAGCCACCAGCAAGGCAGGCAGCCCTCTGCTCCCCGGGGGCTACCTCCGCCCACGGGGAAGGCCCCCGCTGTCCCGGTGAGCCGCCTACCTGTTCGGTTGCATTTCAGGATGCCGCAGAGCTCCCCCAAGAACTCCTCAAACTCCGGGTCCTCGGCCCCCAGCTCCTGGCCGCCCTCGACGGCTGAGAAGAGCATGGCGCCCATCAGCGCATAGGCCACCAGGGAGCAGAGGAAGCAGAGGCGAGGGAAGAGCTTCTCCAGGGCTTCCCTGTAGCACCTGCCGGCCTGGGGCGGCCCGGCAGCCTCCATGCTCCCAGGAGCGCTGGACTGGCGCCCCAGGCGCAGGAGGCAGGAGCTCGGAGGCCCCGCCAGGAGGGGGCTGAGGAGCGCCCGACCTTGGCCGGGCTCCAAGGCTAAGTGGTGGTGCGTGCGCTCCCCCGAGGACCCGGGAAGCAGCCTGCACTCAGCGCGCTCAGTACTTCCGAGTTACTCAGATGACGCTCCCACCTAGCGCCCCAAACTGCTATTGATCCGACAGGCCCATGTGTGCCCCGCCAGCTGCCCCGTCAGCCCGGAGCTGCCCTTGCAGGACCCCGGGGAAGATGCGCTGGCTGCTTCGTGCTCTGGCTTTTCCGATCCTGAAGCTGCGGTTTTGACTTCCAGGGACTAAACCAAACTTCAGTTTTTTAGTCAAGTGACTGTCCTTCCTGAGGACACTTCCTGTGTACTTAAGTCTCTGGGACAGGTAGTAATAATGGTAACGAGAATGGCCGGACCTCAGTTCACAAAGGGCCTTTATCCGATCTGGATCTAATTATTGGTCCCTGCTCTTCACCCCCTGGGGCATACCTGCCTTGGCCAGGGCCTCAAGGAGGCGGAGCATACTTCCTGCCCCCGCCCCTTGGCCAGGCCACATGATTTACCCGAGCCACCTGGCTGTTAGCAGATGCTGC